ATACTGGTTACCACAGGACCGCCATCAAATTGTCCATTATAACCAAGTGTCCATTTCATCAGAATATAAAATTTTTAAACTCAAAAAGTAAATTTAGTTTGTTTTATTTATTAAAGAAATACTCTCCAGGTTATAGTCCCGTTTTTTTTATTTTTTTCCGACATTTTTCTTAAAGTGAACCAAAGTGAACAGATCAAAAACCAACGAACCGTCACTTACAGTCCACCGCATAAGCGATGAACCAATGAACTTTGTTTATGCATTAAACAAATTTTCTGTAATGCTGTAAGATTTACATGAGGCGATTTTCCAGGCGATTCAACATTGCTCTGGAAAAATCGGTCGTGTAAATAGTGATTTCAAAAATTGCTTCCTTCAAAGTAGACAGCAAGTCAACTTTTGTATGCGATTATCGCCTGTCAAAAAATCACCTCATGTAAAGGCAGCTTTACAGTGGCGGTTGCTTGTCTTTACTGAATTCGGCGAATTACCGAACTTTGTTAATTGCAACCTTTTTTTTTGATTTGACTATGACAGCTCCGGTTATAATGGACAAAAACCAATATTTTTTTTAAAACCGAGTCTATTTTAACGGAGTTTTTTTCATATTTTTGAACTGGAACTTGACAACAAATAGGTACATAATAACAGAGTTTCCATCTTAAGCGAGTCCATTATAAATGGATTGCACTGTGCATACATATCAGAATATTTTCGTGTATTTCTACTGCAATACTCATTTGATATAATTTACAGACTTTTGTGGTAATTTTAAAGTTATTAACGGATAAAGTTATCAGTACATTCTTGAATATGTATGTATGTATGTATATTCCAAAAATATTCAATTTTTTAGTTTTATTTTATGATAAAAAAACAGCCATTTGGAGCGGATGTACATACATACATACATATGGCAACCTAAATCAAAAACAGTCGCAGCAAAAAAAATCTCAAATGTTCAGAAGCAAACAACGCACGCAAAACGGACGTTAGCTATGTGGTATGTGTGAGCTGTTTTATAGAAAAATAAATAAATTTAGAAACATTTTGAGTTGTGACTGTTTTTGATGTAGGGTGCGATATGACTTTCTTTTTTAGATTATATTTAGAGTGGTAGGTAGATCGTCCTATCTCGATAGCCGGTTAGAAAACGGTTTATCCAGAAAACTTTTCAACAAACGCCCTATTCCAGAATTTGATTGAAAAACGCCCTATCATCAGTACATACCGTTACACTTATGTGTGTGCATTAGGGTGGGCCAAAATGCATGTGAAAAGTATAGGATTGTTCTACACCGAAAAAAATATTACCCAATTTTTTTATTTTAAAATCAAAAAATATTTAGCGCTTAAAGTTTTCCATGTGATTTATATGACAAAAAACGCCTTTTCGTAGAAATGGTATAGAATTCTTGAAAATAAATAATATTCGATCCGAAAACTCTGGTCCGCCAAAACACCCAGAAAATGTAATGGGGGATAAATAAAGAATCTTTAGTATTAAGAAATGGTTAAATAAACGACTGGGTATTGTTATTGGAAGTCTGCGGAAGAGAACCGGAGTTTTCCGATCGAAAAATATTGGTTTTTTGCCCCATATAAAATACATGGAAAACTTCGAGCGCTTTGAGCGCCCTCTAAATACTTTTTGATTTAAAAAATAACAAAATAAGGGTATATTTTTTTCGATATAAAAAGAACAATCCTATGGGGCGAGAGCATTCAAATTCCGACTTAACCTATTTTGGACCACCCTAGTGTAGCTACGGATTTCCCTGCGTGATCTTTTTATGACAAATTTAGGCAAAAACATTATTTTTGTTGATATACATATAGCAATTTAAGAAATTGTGAGACCAATTGCATATTTAGAAACTGCAATTCCCAATTCCATTCTCGTAAAAGTAAGTACTAAAATAGAATTTATTTCCAGATTTATCATATTTTTACTACATACATATGTACATACATATACTTATGTATTTGTAAATATGTAAACACGTATGTACATTAGAGTGGTCCAAAAACAGTAAAGTCGGAATTTCAATGCCGCCACCCCCTAGTATTGTTCCATAATGAAAAAAATATACCCCAATTTTTTATTTTGAAATCAAGAAATATTTAGAGGTCGCTCAAGGCGCTCAAAGTTTTCCATATATTTTATGTGGGGGAAAAACAACTTTTCGTAGAAATGGTATATAATTCTTGAAAGTCAATCATTTTGGATTGGAAAACTCTGGTTTCTTCAGGAGACTTCCAACATTAATATCCCGTTGTTTATTCAACCATTTTTTAATACTAAAGATTTTGTATTGGCCCCCCCATTGGATTTTCTGGGGGTTTTGGCGGATCTATAAAATATAGTTAACATAAAAAACTGGTTAAAGAAACAATTGGGTATTATTGCTGGGAATCTCCTAAAGAGAAACAGAGTTTTCCGATCGAAAAATATTGATTTTCAAGAATTCTACATCATTTCTACGAAAAGTGGTTTTTTTCACATACAAAATGCATGGAAAACTTTGAGCACTCCCTAATTTTTTTCAAGATAAAAAAAGAGATATATTTTTTTCGGTATAGAACAATCCTAGCGGTGGCGAGATTAAAATTCCGATTTTACTTTTTCACATGCATTTTTGCACCACTTTAATGTACATACATAATATACATATGTACATATATACGAAGTATGTATTTGCGATTTAAACAGAGTAATATACATATACACAATCACGTATGTAAATGTGTGAATATGTACATATGTATGTATGCACGTAGAACTCGCTTTAAACAAGAACGAAAATATTTGTTTTAATAAAATCAAAAACCCATACATTTATGCTGCAAGTGCATAAAAGTAAAACAAAAAATAAACATTTCGAGATACACAAATAAACGGCAAACACTGCTCTCCGATATGTTCCAAGCCCAAAGGCCAGTGAATAAACAAACCAGCCAGCTGGCAAGGCGAAGTGGGTTAGACGGAACGGGTGGGCGGGCGGCAGAACTCGAGGTAGCCAAGTAGTCATTTGAAGCGATGTTGCGATGAGGTAATTCGCTGGTTTTTAACCAATAAATACATAGAAGCGAATACATAGGAGGCGTTGGAATTTTCGACCTATACATTTTTCAATTTTGAGACAACACTTTGCTATTGGAATGTACATATACATGCGTACGCGTAATTGTAATGATTTAATGATATCAAAATATACTATATGTTCATATATAGTAAACCGATTCTACAAACACCAATGCTTTTGGATACACAGCGTTGTAATGCACACCAATGCGGATAATGGATAAAGGATTAAGAAATCTGTTTATCATCAATTAAAACACACAAGAAAATCGAAGAAAAACACATCCACACAACTGCTGGATATTGCACATTTTAGCTAAAAATAGCCATTACTTTTTACACGTTTCGTGGTTGATTAAATTTAATTTTTTTTATTACTTTTTCACCATATGTTCAATTTTCACACAATCTAGACGAAGGCCCGACTTGGTATTTTACACGATCAATGGGGGCATACAAATATTCATACATACATATGTATGTACATATACGTATGTATATGAAGAACAACACCTTACAACAAAAATCCGATTTTTGTTTTCCTACTCGTACCTTTAGTTCAACAACAAACTAATCTCATCAGCACCAAAATGTTGGTGTTGTAACAAATTCTTATTTTATCTTTTTAATTATTTTCTTGTTATGATCAATTGTGAAAAGCTTCGGAATAATAATCGCGCGCGCCGTTTTCGTATTGGAGCTACTCACACCGATTCTTCAACTGAACTGAGTTCTAAAAGCGTTAAACCAGAGTATGCCATCGGCGCACCAAAAGCGAATCGCACATTGTGTTGGCTAGCCGGAGAGCGTCGTCCGAAGGCATTAAGTGATTATAAATAGATATCTTTCGCTAACGTCTAAATATGCCTCTTGTCGGGAGTCGCTCGCTCCAAACACTCGCCAATACTCAACAAAGAGACTCATAAGTGGAACAACCTCAAAACACAAACAGTAAAACAAAAAAAAGAAAGAGTTAATAACGATCATACCGGCAAAAGTACGCGCGACGGGTGATACAACGAGTACATACTCGTTCGTATTCGTATTGCTGATGAAAACACTTTGCTGCGCGAGCGCGTATGACTAATTTAGTTATTTGATGGCAGATTGAAAATTTTATGCAGTAGCGAAATTGTAGGGAACGGAAGGAAGTGACTACGTACACGACTACAAATAGTTATGTACATATGTATGTACCTACATACAAAATTTACGACACGCATTACTCATAGGCATTCTATGAACTGCAGACGAAACGAAATTGCCCTTGATTCGTTAAAATATATGTTTTTCATGCAAATGATAAATAGAAGATGAATGAAGTACCAGATTTTTTCTTCAAAAAAAAAAAACCTAAATTCTTCCTTAATCAGTTGGGATGAGCGCTGTCGCCAATTTGAATTAATAATGGAATTCATGAAACGTCGCAAAGTTGTTGCAAATGTCGTATTTGTTGCAAAATTTGCCACCTTGCGACACAGCTGATTACTTTTGTATGGAAAATTTCTTGCGACAAAATTGCGACATTGCAATACTATTTGAGCTGGCAATCATTGCAAAGTCAAAGTCGCGAAACAGACGTTTTTTTTTTGTTGTCTTCGACTTTTTTTCACTCACGCAAAAATTTTTGTTCAGGAATTTTCTCATTTGACTTACAGGTACGGTAACCATATTTATGGGAGCCGAATACGTGACGAAAATAATTTTGCAAATTTTTTCCACAACAGCTTACAGATCTTAAAGCCTTCTTCAATGATCCTAGATGTATTAGCCCTAAAACAGTATCCTTATAGTAACGTCACAAATTTGTAGGACAATTTTCTCGAGATTTTTACCTAGTAAAATTTGTTAAACAGAAGTTGTTAAATTTTATTATAATAAAATGCAATTTTGAAGTCGCTGAGCATTCTTTGAATTAGTTAATTAACCTGCATTCATCTAGGCAAAAATGATTTCAAATGCATTTACCCTGAATTTACAATAAGTAATCAACTTTAACCTTAATTAGCTCAAAACAATGTCAGACTTACTTAGATCCATTTGATTCTAATCCCTTCAAATTTGGTATTCTATGGTTGTTGTGGTTTTGTTGTGTTTTGTTAGGAGGAAAGCAGTTTCACTTTCATAAAATAATTAATAAACATTAAATAAACTAAGGAAAATAGCCAAAACTTACTAAAATGTCGAGTCCTAATTTCTATTTTGGTCACTGTACGTATTCCTCGATTCAGGCTCTGTTATGCATACTTAGCATTGCTGGAGATTTGTCACATAAGGAATCTGTTAAATGAGCCTCGCGTGTAAGCGGTTACCCAACGCACAGCATTTCATACGTAGAAGTCTTTTGGTTTTTGATTTCTACGTAAAAATGGTATAGCAGTGCATGCACTGCCAAGTATGCATAACAGAGCCTAATTGGTCGGAATATATATTTGTTTTCTTTTTTTTTGGTATGTCACCGCATAACTTTGGACCACGTTAACCGATTTCTATAATTATTTTTTCAAAGGAAAGGTGTTACCCTAAAGTTGGTAACATACTATTTGGTTTAGATCCGATCATTAGAACATTAAGAAATTAACGGTACTCTTAAATTTTTATATCGTCGGTGATACTGCAAAACGGTCAAGGTCTATTAGTACCCTTGCCACTTAAATGGTTTCTTACTTGCACCGAAATGCATCTGCAAATCGTTACACCCTAATAAACGAATGGAAAAACTGTCTACCTTTGGCTGATGAAGGTGAACGATTGCCAGAAGCGATCAAATACAAATAACAGATCAATTAAGAACCAGTGGTAATAAGTGGCATTGAACGTTTTTGCAGTACCATCGACGATATTCGAATCGAAGTCGTTTTTTGCGCTTAAAAACTACTTTTGTAAAATGGGTTTTTCTTCTATAGTTCGATTTTTTTAATATGTTTAACTGATTAGTATTTAATGAAACATTCAAGAGAATTTTTCACTAAAAACAGTTTAATGAAAATGGTATGTAATGTAATTTTTTCCATGTTTCACCAATAAAAAAAAGTTATGTTTATTTACCGATTACTATGTACTATAATACTAAATATTGAATCCGTTTGAGCCCGACATTTGGTTTGAGACGCAATTTTTTACCCAAATAATATTGAAAGTTCTTTGTCTGTTTAAATCTGGCCAAACTGAAAACCGCTCATACAGTTGTCAAGCCCTATTGTTTAATTCCACAAAATTAAATTATAAATAGAGAAAATATGGCATTTTTATATCAGATTGATGCTCTGCATTTTTTTACATAACATGCATACTTTGTTAAAATTTAAATATAAATAAGTAAAAAAGTCTCAGCTTTTAACTTTCCGATAACTACCCTTACATGGTAAGCAGGAGTGGTTTTACCCCTATTTCAAATATCTTCGATAGTATGTTAAGTTAGACTTAATGAGATAAAGGTATAAGTTTCGGTATAACGGCCATTTTCGAAAATTCTATATATAATAATGTTACTTTTTTTCTAGGAATTTTTTATTACCATATTTTGTGTAAAGAGATAGTGCGAATTTGCTTCAGTTGTTAATGATTTAACGAAGATTTCGTATTTCTCTAAACTACCGTTATATGTACGGTGACCATCCGTTCTGTTTTTTGCAAGACCGTACTGTTATTCAAAGGTCAATCGTGCGTAGTTTTTCAAACCAGAAAAACCTGAAAATGTGTTTATTTTTTCCCGGTGTCCTGCATTTGTCCCGCATTTTATTTGATATTTTAAAATTAACGAACAATGGATGGATTTTTTCAAAAAAGTGCTTTTTGGTACTTTTCGGTGCTTTTCTTCAATATCTCATGAAAAAATCTCCCAATCAACGTTAGCGACTTACTCGAAAGATATTGATGTGCCTCACATAAGACCCATCTATCCAAGAGTGTACCACAGGGGATCAATGTCACCCCGAGCCGATCCTTATCCGGCTATACCGTTTCAACGGTACGTATCTTAGCCTAGATAAGAGCGATTTTTATTCGCGCGATAGCAGGCATTCCTTAAATAAATTAGAGCGCATTTAATGCCCTACTCTACTTCCTGACTGTGTTCGCGCTCTTGAGCAGTGACTGGATAAGTACGGAAGCCTGAACTTAGTACTGATGGAAAGCTCCCTCCACCAACACTGCCGTCCGGTTACGATCGTAAAGAAGTTCACTGTTTCCCCTCCACAGAAGTTCCGTCCGGCCCAATCATCCTTTGAGGGAAAGTGGCGCAGAAATTTGCGGGATCAGGGATGGAATCTAAGCCGCCCCGAACTCCAGTGTCCAGCCGTTAAGTCTGTCAACTATTCGGTTTCTCTGAGTCGAATGCCTGTTTGAGGTGCGGCAGTATTGCTTGCAACGTTGACAAGCATTATGGGCAGCCCCCACCACAAAATCGTTGTACAAATAACTAAACATTTCAGGCTCTTATTCCTTACGAACAGATATACTAAAAGAATACTTGGAGACGTTTTCCGTGAATATGGACAAAAGCCTCCTAATCAGCATTCAAATGTAAATACATTTTATACACAAACAGCCTTACGAGTGCGAAGAATAACCGAACATTTATGATATGCCATCGGACAATACAAATTTGAGGCGTGCCTTATAACCCTTCAATCATTATCCTCGGCCAAACCCTTTCCATATAATTTGTAAATTATGCCATCACCAGATAATATCCTCATTTTCATTGCTTTTAAAAGGCAGCTACTCCAGCCACTACAATGCGAATGAGGCCACATAAAAAATAGCAATGGCGTAGGCAAGCACCTGAACACAATGTTTTAGTTTTCACTGCAAAAATCGCACCAAATGTTCACATATGCACATAATTCAATGCACAAAGCAATAAGCTTTTTACACTTACATGTATTTTAAAATACAATACGTTTAAAATCACTTAAATAGCATAAAATAAACACTTTTTCAGAATTCACTTCATTGCTGGAGAATGGAAAAAACACACATACGCCCATTTACGCATTGCGCTGTCAAATTGACATACCAGGCAAAATGAAGGAATTAATTGGTCCCTAACCGATTCCGCTAACCGATTCAGAATTAAGAGTGACATCTGTGTTTTCAATACGCATGTTGTAGTAGAATACTTCGAGAATAACCAGACCATGGTGAAATTATAAACAGGTGTAGTAATAAAACAGCTTTCATGCTTTATTTTCTTAAATTATTTAAAATTTTCAAATTAGATAGTGCCAATTCTTTCTTCTCGCTCTTATTACTACACCTGGTATAATTTCTTTATGTATCCAGACATAGATTTATAATAAAATTAAATTGAACGGCGAAGTTTAACAGAATAGGATACTCTCACTGCACTGATCTCTGAGATTTCCAAGAGGATTTCCTCTGTACTTATTTTCATGATTTCGATGTCTTGAATTACAATCAGATTTCAACGAAATTCTATCTATATCCTCATCCTCATTAGCAGGTATGTACGTATATTCTGCACTTGTAACAAACGACATCAATTTTAATGCTATATTTTTGGAAATTTTCTATTTGAATAAAAAAAAAAAAAAACAATGCAAAATCAGCCCATAAATAACAAATAACTTAACGACGAGCACACCTAAAGTTAAATATTCTAAAACTAAAATATGTATTAACAAAAAACCAACAATAACAACAACCACATGATCAAGTCTAAATAGCAGCAGAATAGTTGCCATTGTTTGTGGTTGGGTTTACATACAT